CGTACGTACTACTACTACACACACACACACACACACACACACACACACACACACACACACACACACACACACACACACAATCTCTCACTAAAGGAAACATCCATCCTTACATAGTATATGGAGATCAACAGGTTTTGCATTCCTTGTGGTGTTATCATGCCCTTTCATCAGCTAACCAGTTAATTTACACCACCACAGTCTTCCTGTTACAGATAGAAAGAAGGATTTGTTGTAACCTGAAACCCTAACTTACTCATTAGCCAACAGACGATCATTTGCCACAGCAATGACTATAAAGGCAGTTTAATGGAACCCTTCCCTGCAGCTGGAGAACATCATGCTGTCTGGAGAATTCCTAGTAAACAGGCATTTTCCAAAATATAAACATTTGATTTTTAAATGAATATTTATTCTGTTTTGCCCCAAATGTATTTTTAAAGAGGAAATGTCTGTATAAATAGATGATTAAGATCCAGAGTGCGTGTTACCAAGGATAGCGATAGCCTTATTTCTGATAGCCGAAGGAAGAAAACATTCTAAATCTACGAGGAGCCAAAAGGAAACACAATTTTGCAAACAACTTCCATTGCATTTGGGGGTGAAGCACAATCAAGGATTTAAATGTTTTCTGAGTGCACTGGTTGTGCACAAAGTCACACAATAGCATTTGGAATCCTTTCTGAAGCTGTGGATAGCAATGCATCAGATCATAGCTGGCCCTGTGCTGGTATGCTAGAATGGCAGGGAGAAGGTCAAAGAAGCCTTCCCCACTATGCACACTCATGCAGGGAGAGGCTCAGTCCCTGTGCCTGCCTCACCTGAATACAAGGACCAGAGAGTGATAATGCTGCTAGTGGTGCTAGAGGCCCCGATTTCGGAAAGTATTTAAACATAACTTTACGCACATAAGTAGTCTCACATGGGACTGCTCATGTACTTAAAATTATGCACATGCTTTATTACTTTGCTGGATATCCCCAGTTTAAGACTCTGGTGCAGGGAGGGGAGGGAGGGAGGGAGGGAGGGAGGGAACTTCATCTATGGCAGGGATCAGCAACCTTTGACACACGGCTCAACCCGGGCAAGCACCCCGGCGGG